TGACGTGGTGACGTGGATGGCCCCAGGTCTGTCTGAAAACCAAGCAGGTGGTGAACTTCCACGTGTTTTCTGGATTCTTCCAAGTAAACAGGAAGGACTTGTCGGACTTGTAAACAAGGATAACCCTGTGTGCTTTGGGTCACCATGATCCTTTCCAAGTAGTGTTTTTTATTTTTTTAGAATAGGACTTGTAAACACACTCGGGAGGAGTCTTGGCACACGTGGACCGCTGGTGCTCACAAGCTGTTCTGGTGTTGTGATCAACAACACCAGTAGTATTTGGGGCGAGAGGAGATTGCAAGGCAAAGATACAGCTTGAAGATGGTGGAAGCAGATGTCGCTTGATATCGTTTCGTTATTGCTAAGTAGCGTACAAGAGCTTCAATCCGATATCTTTTTCATATATTAGAGACACGTGCACAGAGATGAGCGAGATGAGACGGGCCAAGCTCGGTGTTGGTTAGAATTGTTTGTTATAATTAGTCGTGATCCGTTGGTTATAAGGCGAACATCCCGGGTTGTTCAAGCTTGTTCTTAAACCGTTTGGTGCAACACCCACCGTACTCGTACCATTTCCCTCATGAGGTGATTAATTTATCTCACGTTCAGCTATCCAGAGTTCTTAAGGCTATGGCCCGGGTCGATGTTCAAGGAAAAGAGAACCTGCCAAACTGAATGCAGCGGGTCAGTTGACGCCGAAGCAAATCGACCGTCCGTGGTTCCATATACGGCAACGAAACAGTGGCCGTGGCCGTGGTGGTTCTGGGCAACATGGCCGTCCAGCCACCCAGACACGACCAATGGGACTGGAGACCAACAAAAACCACTCCAACATAGGTACGCCTTGGAAGATTCACAAGAAGGAACCACTGGGTTGTAGAGCAGATAGTCTTCCAGTCTGGTCCATACCATCAGGTTCCATATGTCTATTTTTCAGGGGTACATATGGGTGCGCATGAAATTAGGGAGACCTCCTGCCCGGCGTTCTGACCCCCCCTGCGTTCCGTTCGGAACATAGCCAGGGGCGAGATTTCGCACGCCCAGGCTGCCAGTCTTATAGATTGTCGTCAAGAAAACGAAGCACTGACTGTTCGACTGATTGATGTTCCTTCTTCCAGGGTGTCAGAACGCCTGCGAGGTCTCCCTAGTTAGTAATACACATATATACACATATTCCGGTCCCCTTGGTGGTGCCTGGCATTTGTTTCGTTGCGTCGCTCTTGGCTTTTCACCGCCAGGCCCTTCAGTGCGCGGAAATCGCTGGCGGTGAAGACCCAGCTCGGACGCCGAGCGGGCTGGAGTGTATAAATATATATCCCTCATACTTCCCTGTGGATCCACATACCTTCTCAGAAGGTATTTGGGCTCTCCTGGCGCCTACATAAATAGTCTCCCTGCTCACCTTCTCAGGTTCGGTATGTGGATCCATAGGGCTTGATGATGAATACAAGACTTATTGGAATACATGATGTTGATTTTAAAGTCTTCCATCTGTCAGACGACTGTGACAGACTTGCCATGCTTGCCCTTGTTGCACCTGGCCATCCAGTCGTGTGCTCCGAAGCGATGGGAATCACTTCCCGTCCTCCACGGCCAATCCATTCGAGAACAGATCGACATCGACACATGACCTGGCACGGGCGCACGGGCGCCTTCCTTCCCGGTGCCTCAGAAGAAGGTATGACTCGTTTTCCCCTGGCATTCGGGCCCCAGTCCCTTCAAAGAAGGTACGACATAGTGTACGACATGTTTATATATGGAATTCCCTTTTCGTACGAACAAACACCTCAGTTCGACCGACCGAGAGGCACTAGCTTTTTAAGACGGGTCAACCAATCCGAAGGACCTGGCGCTTGGACCCTTGGATCCAATGAACAACTCCTCACATGACTGGTGCATGGCGCTATTCTGCGTGGCGCGGCAAACGCGTGGCGGTGCAACTTGTGAACTGACCTGAGCAGAATCTCTCCCATATGTTTCAGTGGTTCGATATGGATTTTCATGGATCACTCAGCCACCTTTCATGTCAGCTCTTCATCTGAAGTACTCACCTCATCAGTCGCAGAGGCCGCTCACTCTTCGCTGAATCCCTCCGCGCGCATCCGCGCTCGTGCGCTCGCTGCGCGCCGAAAACCTCCATGGCTCGGCCCGTCAGGGCTCCACGGCAACATGTTCAGAAGTCCTTGGTGCAAGAGTCGGTGAAGTTCGAACGCCGCACCAGGTCGCCGGGTTTTTTTTGGCTCGCGGATGGTCGCCGGTTCGGTGGTTCGTGGACGGCCGCCGGTTCGGTGGTTGATGTCATTGCGTTTGACGCCGGGTGAATGGGGATGGGGTTTGGATGGTATGAAAAGGGCGGCTTTTGCCAGTTGTAGTCTTCCTTGCTTCTAGTAGTGTCATGTAGCGTCCTTCCTCCTAGTAAGGCCAGGAGCCCCTAGTAGCTTCTTGCTCCTAGAGGTTTGGTTTTTTTTCTTGCTCCTAGAGTGGGGATGGACGGAGTTTTGTGCTGGGAGGTTTGTTTTTATTTTGTTTTTTCTTATTAATGGGTAATGTATAGTTACTATAACTTGTAATCATTGCTTCATTCCAAGACTCCCCCAATAATAGAAAAAGATATGAGTTCCAACTCATGTTTGAAGAGTATTTACTTTTACTTTGGTGTTACAAAATTGCAGTGATGTACAGACTCTGAAGGATGTTTGTGGTTGCCTTTGTTGAACCCTCATCACACGAATGATGGCCTTGTTCTAAGCGAATGTTAATTGCTTTACCCTTTGCACCGATGCTTTCCCCTCTTGAACCTATTTGCATAATGTTGCATCTACTTGGCTGGTTTCATTCTTCGGAACATCATGATGACTCCAAATATCATCAAGAGATGGAGAACAGACTTTTGAAATCTTTTGAACACCTTCTTGGGCTGACGTCAGCCCACTGGATTCTCCCGAACTTGCGATCAGTCATCCGCGCCAATGCCCTTAAAAATTGATCTGTCCTGTCGACCTCACTTCCTACCCAGCCCCTGGATAAACAGCAAAACCTTACAGAATATTACAGAATCTTACAGTTATTTGTACCTGGACCCTCCAAAGTACCTTAGAACATGGTATATGACCCCATATAAAACAGGTACTTGTACCCAGGTCGACTCCAGGTCTCTGATATATCGATATTCCTTGTTTCAAACAAACCAGGCTTGAAGAACGAACAGCTGTCACCTTCGTGGTTCTTCAGCTACCCGTTCCTTCCCTTCGACCCCTCCGCCTGGGTGGGACCGGTCGCCAGGGAAAATGAAGCTCGGAAGCCCAGCTGGGAGGATCGGCACGGGTGGAGCGCCGAGCACCCAACAAACCCGCCCTCTTCGGTGTCCACCGACCTTTTTACAAGAGTTGGTCACGCAAAAACACTCCGGGGGGGGTAAGTTTGAGGAGGGTATTTACGGGGTCAGACTGGACTTGTAGGGCTAGGAGAAAGCAGGTCGAGGTTTGTTCGGTGTTCTGGTGGGTTTTGCTGGGACAGTCGAACGGTCAAACCTCCCTTTTCCTCGCTGAGACCGTTCGTCACTTGGGACCTACGGTCTAACCGGACTCGACCGTTCGACCGGGCGCCCAGTTGGGCGGCCTGGGGCCGGGTTCTTGTGTGGCCACAAGCGAATGACTCTACGAGAGGTCGTACAGTAGATGTCCAACGGCCGCTTTTGATTTGAAGTCGAACGCAACTGATCTGTCAACTTGTAGAGCACATGTTGTGGATTTGTTGCAGAGCACACCTCAAAAGTACATGTGGACAGCCAATTCCTGTTGCTGGTTTTGGATTCAGTTATTCATGCCCTTTCTTGTCGTGCATGATTTCGTTGTATTGTTGATGCGCATTGTTGGCAGTTTGTGTGTGATATGTGGATGATGTGTGTAGAATCTGTACTTGATTGCTTTATATATCGGTATTTTTAAGTGTTTTTTTTTGCTTTGGGAGTGCTCTTCCCCGCCATGTTGTTTCCATCGCCGACATCCCAAGTGTTGAGGTTCTTTCGTTAAGGCGAAGCAACCACAGAACTCATGACCCGCAGGAGAAAAGTAAACGTGTTTTCGATTCAACATAGCTTCTGGTAGTTCACGCCCCGCATAAAAAAACTGTATGCATGCAACATGAATGTACTCTGAAGCAACCAAATGTTGGTGATTAGATGTTTCATGGCATTTTCGGGATGCGGTGCTTGTTCCTTCGGTCGCTTCATCTATCCCTTCATCGCTCCATCTATCCCGAGACCAATGATGAATGGGTCACTGGCGAGGTGCGTTTTTTCTGCGCGAGCCCGGGGGTGGATCTGCGTCTCCCACCAAGGTCTCTCCCAACCGTCCCAACAGATCTCTCAAATCAGTTGGGCACTGGTGCTTGTCGAAGGCTTCGGGGTAACAAGAATGGGTCATCCATCCATCAGGTGTCCTTATTTGGGTGTGGAAGAGAAAAACATCACAGCCTCCACATGCCTCGAGAAGACGGTTCGAGGGTGTTGGGTCGAGGATTGGGCCGATAGATCGTCCCTTCGACACTCCACGTCATATATGTTGCTAGGCTTCACCAGAAGTTTTGGAATGATTTAGTTCAATGGTGTTGAGACTCGGCTCCAAGCCAAGTCATGCAACCTTACACTATGCAGAACTTCTGGAAGCTAGTCAACACCACTGGTTCATTCGAGATGGAAGTAGAGAAACATGGTCTTCCAAGGGACCACTTTCCACTTCCATGTTGGTTCCAGGGAGTGTAATAAAACCACGCTGCTAGTCCAGTTTCTTCTAGCCATGTCAGCTGAGTAAATACTTGGGCAGTGACCGTGCTGAATTGGTCTCTTCGGATCATGGAAGTGGAAACATGAAAAAACACTGAACATGTTGAGTCGAGAGCTTGCTCATTGATTCTGATATATTCTGACATTTTCTGCTCAATCAGATTCTCAGAAGCATTGTTCTCTCCTCCCCCCTTCCCAGCTGCAAGCACCGGCCGTCGCTCAGACCCGTACAGGCTCAAACCTCCCCGCGTGGTTTGGAGTTTAAACACTCCAACAAAAGCACCTCGACCGTCCATTCCGGACCATGGATACCTTGCCAACTCTCATGGAGCACGAAGTCAACGTTGTGAACACCTTCCTGCAGGTACGAGCATGAGGTCGTTTTCTGCTGATCAAGAGTATGGCAATGTTCTTAGACAGAGACCGAAAATTACTCCCTGCAGGCCCTGGAACTAACATGGAAGTGGAAGGTTTGTGGATTTCAAGCGGCCATGTTCCTCTATTTTAATCTACTGTATTGTCCACTTCCATGTGAGTTCCAGGGAGTGTATTGGGTGAATTGCGCAAACGTCGTTTGGGTTTTGACCGATTTCAGTGAACTCCCTGATGAGACGTAGAAGGACGCTTGCGGAGGCTTGTATACTCTTTTTGACCTCTTTTGGTCCTTCCATGCGTAGAGTAAAAAATATCATTATACATATATGGCTACGGCCAGAAACATAAGGCTTGGATCACACACCCAAACCCACACACGATCCATACCTCGATCCATAGGGTATGGATCAAAGGTGGGTGTGTGATCCAAGCCCTTGGATCACACAACTACTACAACCACCTCTGCTGCCACCACTCCTTCTGCTACTGCCACTACACTTGCCACCTGCTGCTGCTACGGCAACAGCTTTACTGCTGCTGCTACTGCTACTCACTACTATCACCAG